TAGTAACATCTGATTTAGCTAAACATTGTAAATATATAACATACGTAATGTGCACTACTGGGAACATAGTACAACAAAAATGTTAGTTTAATTGCCAGTTTAATAATAAGAAATATCTTTCATGACGTGGTACAGTACATTACATATTTAGCTTCATTCGTCTATGATTCTTTCTTAATAAAGAGATATCAATATTTCGGCAAATTTCTATATAATTGTATAAACCTGTGAATTATCGTGATAAGTAGCGTCAGTAGCGACCAGTATTGATCATCACCAATATCACCTAGTCTATTTCTGTTAAAACATTATCTTGGATTAACACTTTAATTTGAATAACTCGGAAAATCTCGGAACATTTTCTTTAGGTTGGCAATGTATTGGAGATATGTTCTTTTCTAACATTTTGCAATATAAAAACATCTATTTAACTTCTTTACCTTTTTTTTTTAAAAAATCCTAAAATAAACACAAGATATTCTCAACAAAATCGTAGTGTCACTATCGTGAATATTTAGCATGGCAATATACTCGCTTCTTTTTGTCACCTTTATGCTATAACGAAATAAATCCACGGTTTATTTTGGTGTATCATTGGATATCAACGTATGCATTATGTTTTGAGATAATGAAAGATAATATTTTTGACATAAATAATGAAATACAAGGAAAGATTTTCAACTGTATTGTCTTAACCATGCCAATTTGTTTACAATAATTAGAATATATTCCTCTCGAGTATAAAATATAGTGTGTAAAATGTTTATATATCATAAATCAGCCGATGCCTTACCATTCATTCAAAACGAAAGTAAATAAAAAAAAAACTGAAAAAAAAGAAAAATGAGAATAATGAAACAAGAACAGAATCCAAGGAAACCCGGCGACAAAACGATGGCCCAGAAGTCAAATGTCTTAATAAAATTCTTAATAACAATTTTCATATCGTATTAATTCTTAGTGTGTATTCATAATGAAATAAATTTTTTTAGTTGATTTAAGACCATTTTGTTGGTAAATGTAATTTTCTCTTTGAAAATGATGTGATTGAAGTTAATACGCAAATATAGTTTTTATGTAATTTTTCAAAACGTTCGAGTCCTTGACATATTTTAGTAACTATCAATATGTCTTCGACAAAGAAATGATATAGTAGCAGACTAACTGACCTGCATGCCATTTTAATATTAGATTAACGACATATGAGATGGATATAATAAGGATCGGTCCATTATCATGCCTAATGTATTGACGGTATTTGCACGTGTAGAAATGACATGAAGCTTCCCCGATGTCCGCACTATCAATCTTCATTGTATATGTTCATTGTTATCACAATATCGATACAGAGGAGCCATCTGCTAATCATGGGCTTTGCATACATTTCGTCGATTGTACATGTGGTTCCTATTATTAGCGCGAGTCACGTCGTGACTTCACTCTAAGTTATCTTCACTAAATTTTCTTTTTCGTCTATTATTCATATCAGAAATCAATTAGTGGAAATCTATTTACTCTTGTTTTCTAAGGGACTAGGATATGTCTTTTTTTATAATGCCATGGCCTTTCTGAATATCCTTATCACATGAACATTGTGAAAAAGCAGAAGCTTTAACCGTTTTGAATTTTGAAATGAAGAAGAGCACCACATAAACCAATTTAAGATTTCCTTATTCGATATCCACTATGTTGTGTCACATATCGACACGTTCCCAGATACAGATTACAATTCCTTAACCAATGAAAATAATTTGGTGATTTATCACCTAATTCGTAGTACACATTAAAGTATCCAACTGGACATGAACACTGCCCGTTATAATTCATTAATGTTATTTTTCAGATATGTGCATACTTAAGTTTTCCTGTTTAACAATACACGGCGGAAAAGCATTCCAAAAAAGACCTCTGCAATTAATTTAGTATTATGCTCCCCTCCACAATCAATCAATTGTGTTATCTTTATAGCATTTAACATTTCCGTGAAAAATCCCTAGATATCAATTTTATTCGTCAATATCCCGTGGCGAGCGACCATGTCTGCCAAGTATATACAGTGCACGCTACATGTGTTCCGCCCATCCTCTATGTCCATCCATATTCAATCTCATGCTTCACTGATGGCTATCAATTGTTGGGATATTTGTTTTGTTCTCATTTCGAAATGGCATGACAATAACACGATATGTTGTGTTAAAAGTTTAATTGCACAATGATTCTGGTCAATTTTAAACGAAGCAATTGCGTTGTACATGGTACTTTAAAAGCTATTTATTCCCAAGACTCAATATTCGTTCCAAGTCTTCTCTAATTTAGTGGATGTCCTAAAATGTATTCTTCTCCTTATATGTTCACAAAATGACGCACAGATATCGGTTAATTACTATCACAATATCGTATTGATTCCAGTTTAGGAGGAAATGGGAATAACGACCTATTTCACAATCTTCTTATCACCTTTTGTTCCAAATTTTATTATGGAATTTCACATATTTTTTGTATTATCGTAAGCCCATTGTAAAAAACAACAAATGAATGACACCTTTGAATACAAATTTCGAATTAGATACAATTGAGTCAAATATCGAATTTGAACTACTTCATACAGCTGTTTCGTTCTCGTCAGTAATGATAAAGGTCCTAAATTTTGAAACCTTGGAGGCGACTAGCGAAAATCAATATTGATCGAAAGAAGTTCAAAATTTAGATGGAGAGGTGTGCTAAATCCATAATTCATGAATTTCGTTATCGTCATATATCTGGTAATTTCAAAACAAGGACAAGTATATGTGTTTGTTCTGAAACGTGCCACCGTTCAAAAGAAGTAAAATGTGGCATGCAGGTTAAAACGAACTCCAACTTGCGATTTAATTCTACTTTACACTCTCACTTCATTGTAAGTAAAATGTGTCTCTCCACTTATCAAATCAAGTTATGTTATTTGTCTTCGATGCAACTTGACAGTTTATGCCTAAACTCAGCAACAAAGGGGACAAATAATGTGTTTCAGAAATTACCACATCCTTATAGGACAACGACTCTCGCTGATCATCATAAGTTTCTGAAATCACCAGCTGGTGTTTAAACTCATACCCTATCACAATAGATATTTTGGGAAAATTGTACAATAACTGCAAAGTATAATATACAAGATAAAACACATGTACACTGCATCGTCAGCAAAAGAGGATAAATTGGAGTCGACAAAACATTGACCTCTACGGAAACAAAACAAAAGGCACGACCAAACTACGCCATCTCTTATCAATCGTTGATATATACATTAAAAAGAAAATATATTACTTGAGAATATATCATAAATCCTGAGTGAAAATGAGATGTGTATCAATAACAAATACATCAGAGACCACAATATGTTTTTGTAATAGTTCATGATACACAGTGTTTATTAAATACTTCAGGGCTTTTTACTTATCTTTAGTGTTGGAATTGTACTTTTATTTTTATTTCAGTTTTAACTGCATATGCCTGTAAAATTTTCAAAGATTGCAATAAGTCCGTCGCTACAAACTATTTGTCGAGGAGCATTGTTACGCCGTTAACGATGTTCGTCATATATTTCAACAGATGATCAACTGTCATTTACGGTTTTACACTTAACGTATCTTCACTAATTTAAACATACTGACGAAAATCTATACAGCTTTCGAAAATGCTAGATTTTAAAAAAAAATTATGTGTAAGCAGTTTCGTATAAATTAATATTTATACCACTAACTGGTAACAATACGTCTGACTGTAGTTCAGCGCGGTATTTAAGTATCTCCCGTTATCTGAATTTTACAGAACCATTTGCTAAAGCCTAACATCTGGTAAAGACACTGCGGATGGTGTTTCTGTAGTATGACACACGAGTTTGGAACTTGTTAATCGGCATTGTGCAAAATCTAGTATAGGACGGTTTGTAATATCCATACACAAGGAAGGTTTCTAGTACAGGGCAAAGCTTAACAAGTAGATAAACTGACAAAACCTTATTAATGTTTTTGTGTTAAAAACTCTTTAAAGTTATTTCATATATTTTGCAAGTATGATTCGGTTTGACATTTAAACGTGAACATCCACAATTATACACTTTAATTTATGTTGTGAAAAAAATTAACTGAATCTCATTTCGTTTCATGTTTTTTTCATGTTTCGGAGTTGAAATATTAACAAACTCAATCCCTAAACACATGTATGGTACACGACAGCATACAGAAAACAAAACACATGATAATTGAATTATTGACGCCATTTCTTCGTGTTTATCGTATGTGGGTTAGATCATTATTTTTCACCACGCAAAGAGGATAAAGAAACTATGCCAACCAATCTGCAATGGTTGGTAATTCAATCTGTATTTGACGGCTGTTTTATATTTTCCAGTTTTTATTTTAATTTGTATTGTACTAATTTGTATTACACTAATTTGTCCTTCATAATGTCAAACTAATAAAACGTATAAATATTCAAAATCTGAATGTTAAGACAATTGTTGTAAAAGTTCACCTTATGAAGGTTTTATGAAAGCTCTCCACTGGATATTCTGAGAAAGACTGTTTCGACTTTGAGGATGGCCATCAACTTTAAAAAGGACAAATTGCTAAGCATTTCAGAAGCCAGAAGTGAAGTGTCAAAGAGGTGTACGACTTAAAGGAGGTAAGGCTGTGTGGTTATCCTCGTGAAAGTTAGAACAATTCTACAAACTACTGTCAGATTATATGTGAAGCTAGTTTCATGCATTGTTCATATATATTCAGCGTCCAGCAAAGCACTCGATGTTATTGTACAAACACGTATTCAAGTGGAAAAGAACAGATACGACGCATGATCATTAAACTCCAATCATAAGGGTTTTTTATATAATGAGGTTGAATAACAAACTAAAGTCATACATTGACAATGTCCCCTTCTATGTAAAGACTCGGCCACCCGCGACGTGAGGTACGTTATCACACACTAAAGCATTGCCACATACCTTCAAAATAAAATCTTACCTTGTGAAGGCACGGGGAGTGAGGATGGAAGGAACCGGGCTTGGTATGCCTGGTACTGAGAAGTTGTTGGCGTCGCACCCCGGGCCATGTCCTGTAGGGCGTTTCCCCCTGCCCCCGGCCGGCCAAGCACCGCCGAATGCGCGGCATCGAAACCTGTTTCGTACGTCCCAATAGCATTAGCACCTATAAGCCGAGCTCGATCCAGAGTAAAATCAAGTGGAGCGTCCATTATGTAAATATCCGAAGAGTATTATCCATAAGCCCGGGTGCAGTGGCCATTTCCTAACGCACACCACCAATCTCCCATGCCTACAATTCGAAATAAGGCATTCATTACATTTGTGTTTAAGATGTGAAGGGTATATCTGCTGATTGTCTAATAAAGTACGTTGGGATGCAAATGTTGTTACGAAAAATAGGCATTCCATGTATTTCCTAAATAGTGTGACGTATATAGAAGGAATGGTGAGTTTGTTACTATCGGAACAATGCCAAGTCTCTATGCTGTTTTTCCGAAGCATTTGCACGCCATTTTAGACAAACATAAAAGTACCTCGAATCAGTGCATTGGCATGACACTACCTGATGTAACTTCTGCCTCAAAAATCCACAATTTGCAGTCAACACAAAATAAGTATATGGCTTTAGCATACCCATGGTCTTCATTACACAACCGCACGCAAGTTAATGTAAGCCTCTTGTGTTCGGCCTTGAAAGCGATGTCAATAAATTACTGCCTTGCTCCGTGTTCAACACCAAACAGTCGTGCTGTTAACTTTCCGTGAAATACCCGATATAAGGAGGGAATTATCTAGCTTTATCCTGTACACATAAACCTTGCTATATAAAATGGAGTTTCCTCCATCTAAACTTGATATCTTACATAAACTAGGTGCAGCGTTCCCGCAAGTGTCATACCTGTTTTGCAAAGAATGTGACTGTAACAAGGGACTTCCACAACCGCACATTTTAACATTGTTAAATATTGAACAGGTATGCTAATTTGAATATTGAACAGGTATACTATAATGAATATTGAATAGTTAAGATATTATGAATATGGACTATTGAATATGTATGCTACTATAATAAACATGCATGATAAAATCATGTCCTGGTCCTCACATCATCAGACACGTTAAATGTTTCAAACTAGGAACAAGGAAACATCAGCAAATTCTAGGAAATACACGTGATAATAAACCAACGATATGCAAGTAGGCGTATTCAAAAAACAGAACTAAATCTCTGCAGGTTAGTCAAACTTAGTTTAAACAACATCTACCTACAAGTACTCAGTCGACCAACTAAAAGGAATTAAATATTAAGTAAACCAGCCAAGCTTCATCGCAGAACCAGTAAAATATTGATGTGTTCACCGAACAGCAATCGGCTAGTACTAAAGGCGAGTGAGTTCCATTTCTGAGAGGCAAACAACCAAATGCACCTTGCCTTTCAGTCCCTGTTCCTTGTAAAATCGTTCCGGGTAAGTGTTTAGATTAGTGCGGGCATGTGCCGATATAAGATGAACCTAGAATGATCTTACAAATCCCCTACACTGGTTCATTCTAGCTCTGATACTGGCTCTTCAATTTCAACCAATTTGCCAGAGTTATCGGCCAATCAGTTCCTTGCTACATTTAGTGGACGGAATTAGCTTATCTAATACACACTCAAAATCTTTATTAATTCAGAAATTACTAGTCGATTGTATGTGATAGGACGGAATACGCTCGTTGGCTCCCCCTCCCATAATTCCAACCCTCATTACAAAAATGTCCAACGACATCATATGGTGCGACGGAATCAGATTTTCAATGTGGTACAGTTACGTTATGTTGGATACCTTGCCAAACTGAAATCAAACCTGCATTCCTCATAAATTACTACGAATACCAGTTGTATGACATATACGCTAATAATCATGGCGGGATAGCATTTCCATGTGATATGTACGTTCTGTATATGTGTATAGCTGCAAGTTTTACTTCTACACTTGACGAGATTAAAAGTGGAACTGAAGCAAACACCGCTCCCTATGCTTGACCGTCTGAGGACGAATTCGATCATATACAGTCACAACCCTTTATCGTATATCTAGCTTTGAAGGTAATATGGAAATAATTTTGCAGTAACATTTTGAAGATATCTGAAGCATTATGCTTCACACGCGGGCATATTTTGATATTGGTCCGTATTAAATACAAAGATGAATTATGTTACGTGGCTAATCACCGGCTACAAATATTAAACACTATTCATTTGTTTCGATAATAGCTAAATAATTAATATCTTTTTCTTGAATTCTGTTTGATTGATTCATTTTTACAATATACGTTGTTCGCACTTTCGCCTACGTCTCTACTTACCGAATAACAGCTAAATCTATATATGAACACTTTGGTCATATAACACGTTAATTTACAAGTTTTATTTCAGATATAGTTAATTATCGGCTGTAAAATCAATATCTAAAAATAACCAAAAATAACGTTGTAATGTGTCAGAGAATTAAATGCATACAAAATTATTTCATTCCGCGAAAAAGTCTAAAAAAAATTATCATTTTCATAAAAATATGCATAAACAAGTCCAAAAGTTACGTCGGAATTTCAACATCATTTTATGAATAAATTCTTAAATTTTAATCTAAACTATTCAATAAATGATGATTGAAACAAGTAATTCAGAATAAAACATAAAAATTAATACAGACAGGATATGATATGTAATAAATTCCTGGTGTGGAACTGTTAAATAACTCATTTCCTTAACAACATTAATTTTTTCCATATACATTATATCAATTGATTTTGCAATACTTCCATATGTCAACCGTCGTGTAAAGTTTTATTGTATGCCGATTTGTGATAAATGAAATCTGCTCTTATTGCGTTCAAATTCAAAATGAAATATTTCCCTGTCTCGGTCATTTTACGCTAACGTGGTAATATAATAATGATGTCAAAAATAAGGAAATTCTTCCACAAAAAATTAAATTAATTCCGTTTATATTTGTTTTAATATTCATGAAATGGAGTTTTCTGAATTTATTGTTTTGTCACAAAAAGTAATAATTCAGATAGAATGAATCCCTTTTCAAGAAACCAAACTTATGTACAAATATTACACAATCAGCGGTATTTTATTTAAAATATACAAATATGACATAAGTAGCACTATTTCCTTAAAATTAATAATAAATTTGCTACAAGGAAATTAGAAGTGAATACCCGATGTAAATATCACTCTGTTGGGGTGTTTACTCGTCAGCGTGTGTTACGAGTGACGCACAACTACGCCGTGACTTGTGCAGTGCAATAAACAAAATTCGACAAATTTTAATATAAAAATGGAATTGTTAATACTTTGGCTGATAATTTTCCTATATAGAAGAAGCTTCAAAGATCTTTTTAAGAAAACTGTCATTATTTTTCGAGAAGTGGTTTTACCTGTATACATTTGGAAAGTAGGCCAGTTGTTGTTTTGAAAATGATTTGGACAGGAATATACACACAGGTACGTGTGTATTATTGATATAATCGGTATATCGAAACATGAACACAATCGCAATTAAGCTTAAATATAAAAACATGACAATTCTTACCTTTACGAACGGTAATTCCATGAAAAAATCAACATTATGTTGGGTGTGTAAAAAGCCACTGTAGCCTGCATTACCAGGCGAGTTCTATCATGGCGGCTTGCTGTAGTGATCACGACACATTGAGTTATTGTTGGTGCGGGTTGTCTATCCGAGCTATACAAGCACGGCTGTGATTGGCTAGCCACGAATCCCCTGTGGACATACTTATCTGCCTGTCCCGTACTTAGGTTTCTTAGTTGCCCGTGTAAACAAACATAACTGTCACGGCTTACGAGGAAGGGAGTGGTTATTTAGACCTAGAGAAAGACGTTGCTGACCTGGAAAAAAGTGTATTACCATTGTAAGCCGGCCAACCGGTCATGAACGGGAAATATGTGGATGTGTTTTGGAAATGCCCCTTGCTAGCAAGCTGAAAGGAAAATGGCTGCCAGTGGTTTAAAGTAGATTGGTGTTGTCAATGGAGGAGAGAGCCGGGGTCTGACTGATTTATCATTCCGCACTCTCATTTTACATATAATAAACTTCACGGATATAAACTAGGGGATCTAGAAACCGTGTGTATTCACTTTTGATCACGTGTAAACATTGAGTGATTCAAGCTTTAATTCCTTTCGAAGAGACCTTCGACCCCTGGCTGGGCCAAATTTACATGGAATGGCAAGCAGATGATATTAAATTGCTATACAGCAACCTCTCCGGAAATATATCGCGAGGACATATTTAATTCAAAGATTTCGTTTTATGTATTTTGGCATGTGCGAGGGCAGATGATGCTTCATTGTATTAACGTTAACGGTGAGTGCAGGTCTGTCTTACATACTTAGGTGTATTTATATATAACTAAGGTAGGTCTGAATATATTTATGCTAATTTGTATTGCTCGTATGTGCCATATGTGTCTATGGTTGTGTGGGAATAGAGGTTGTACGAGTGATAGGTTATCTACGGGGTTCTTTTTTCTGATAAAAACACAACCTTTTTGGATAGTATCTCGGTTTCGCTGCAGACTGAAGAGTAGTTTCTTAAGGACGTTGGTTTTTTCTGAAAATATTTTGTTTTCGCGTGATTTCGTACAGTCCTGTGCTATATTACAACTCTATACAAAATATAAGCCACGGGAATTATTTTTTTATACAAAAATGAATTGCGCCAGGAAAACTAAATTATCTTTTTCATGAATGAAGAATCGAAAGTTTAGAAAAAATCTGTCTATTGCTAAATTACTTTATGTTCGTAGTTGTGTTTGCAATTTTGATAATTAACTAATATTTTCTGGAGGTAGAGATTTAAATTATTACTCTTATACTGAAAACATAATTTCTTGTAATGAATTTTAATTGCCGCTGGAATTTTTTTCCCGGTACTATGATAAATATAAATATGCAAATGTAAAATTACTATATTAAAATAACGTAATGCAATATTTTTTTCAGTTTCGAATATTCTAAACACTTTGACATCGTTTATCAATCACAGTTACTTAACTAGATAAACTCTTTTGAAATGTCACCGGTGCGGGATATTTTAGAATTGTAGTATAGTTACAAAACTTCAAAATAGACTGATATGAATAACTGAAGCAAACTGTAGTTCCGATTTAAAATTTGTTTATCTTTCAAAACAAAGGCATATACAGATACATTTCTGTGATAAACATATTGCTCACATTTATATTGATTTACATTGTATAACATGATGTATCAATAAGTTAACGATTATACACTTAATGTACATTGGATATAAAACCATATTTGTCAAAAGCACTTCATATTTCAAACAAAAAAATCTTTATGTTCTAGTTTGATAAATATTACCAGATAACCATCCCGGATGTAAAGACTGAATATTCGTAAATAACAACATGTGTTTCGGCTCTTGATCTATGGTTGATGAGAAGTATGTTTAAATCAATCTTACTTAGAATAGACTTTCAAAGCACTCAAATTTATATAGGATAACAAACAGTAATATGTCGAATCTTACCTAAGAACTGATAATGAAGACATTCAAACACATGAAGTACTAGTACTGTTGTGGTCGACGGAGTAACATGTTTGACATTTTGCTGAGTTTTCAAAATGAATCTAGCTTCTAATATATGGGGAATAATGACTGTAAACAATATAATTAAATATGAAAGTAATTCTACGTCCATTTAATGTTTTATGATAAATCTAAGTTTATTATTTTATCATTTAGAATTGATAATGTTATGAAGGATGGTGAGCGTTTTGCTCAATGAAATTTTAAGCGACAAATTTAGTAAAATCAAATTTTCAGAAATTATTTAAGAATCTTCTCTTAATTCCTGACAAAATATGGGAACCAAATCAATGAAATATGATTTTCGTATATGGTTATTTTTTAAATAGAAAATATGATATATTTTCCCCGTCTATTCATAGAAAGATATCTTACTTTACACGATACTGAATGCCATGTCCATTGTGCATTATCAAGTTGGGATATAATCTATTTCAAAATATTGTTTATAAAACATGCATCATTCTGTTCTATAGTGCAATAAGATGATGATTCAAATGAACAAAGAAAACGTTAATTATTATACTGTATCAAAAGAAAATATGATTCGTGAAATTCATTAATGTCTTTTATCAAATCCAAACCTGTTTAATTGTTTTTATATTTTCATATTGTAACAATTGCATAATAATCTAGGTCCAGTTACAGAATAACCATGTGTCTATTGATTGCTTTTGAAACTCTTTGCCAACACATTTTTGAAATGATAAGGAAACAACATAGCATTATGTTAATCGAATGATGAAATGTTTTCATAAGGGTTTTACAGAACTGTATATTTTGTGATAAAAACCAGGTTTCCAAGAAAGGACCGATGATTAATATCCGGTTTGTAATACTACTTCACTATACATCATTTAAATTAATATCCGGTTTGTAATCTCCGAAGGAAAAAAAAAACTCCAGCTAAGAACTTCATGTTTAGAAAAATCATACCAAAAACGAGATAATTTGATTATCGATACTCCAGTTAATATACAGATAAGATATTTACAGGGAGAACTGGTTAATATTAAGACAATAAATGACATTAGCCTGTATTCTACTGACACAGTAGGTTGGTGATCACGGACTGAATGTATTGATATTTAATCATGTATGGGAGCTTGACTAAATATGAAATGAAGTTGACCAGTCCTCTAAGCATATTAGGGTTTTTATTGTTTTATAGCTATCATGGGACAAGGCAAGGTGTTATCTTTCCCATTTGACCTGATATATACACATTTTTATAAAGGAAACAGACTAGTGCCACAATATTATTACGGGACTTCCTATCTCACTATTCCACAGCTGAAAATAGGATGTATCACTCTCGGTAACACATTGATAAAATAGATGAATGGAACAAACTTATTAAAAAAATTATCTGTTGGGAAACGTACTTCCTACCGTTGTTGTTGGGAATGTTTCAATACATAACTGATATGGGGAACAGTGTGCTATATTACTGGTGGTGATAGGAATCAATAGTGTATATTATTTCTTTGGTTATATATAGGTATTTCACATCATTTCTCGATAACAAAAGCAAGTATTTACCATCATGATTTGTTAAATGTATCAATGCGTCATTTGGCGGGGAATATATCCCTATTATACATTACTTTAGTTGGAAATATGTCAATATTTCAGTTATTGTATGGAAAGTTCACCCATAATATACTTTATTGGTGTGGGGTATATATCAATCATTTGGTGGTGAATATACCCCGTGCTGAACTTTATTGGGTAGAAAATATATCAATATTTAAATATTTGTATAGGGAATACATTCGTAATACATATTATCGGTGTGAAGAAAACATCAATATAAGATATCATTGTGATGGAGAATGTATCAATATTTAAGTCATTTTGTTGGGAATGTACCAATAATAAATATTATTGTTGTGTATAAAATGTTAATATTTCATGCAACTTTGTGGGGAATGCATCCATATTATACATTATTGGTGTGGATCATCAATAGTTTACGGCATCTGTGGGAAATATACCCATATTAAAGAGTAATATTTCGTAATATCACTTTGTGAGAAAAATAGCAATACTATACATCAATGGGGTGGGGAATTCAATAATAGCATGTCGCTTTGTGGAAAATACATCAAAATTGTACATCACATGGTGTGGTCAAGGCATTCATATTTTACGTTATTACGTCATGGGGAATAATTTAGTATTTTATATAAAGGGTTTCTGGGATTGTGCAAGCATTTTACATCATTGACTTTGGCATTTTATAAGTAGGTTGCATCATTTGTCACCATTTCATCATATATGCTCTACACTTTTACCTTTATTTCTCCACGTGATCCTAAATATGACGCTAATAGGATATGTGCATATGTTAATAGGGTTTTTACCAATGTTATACTTGTATATGGTTTTTGTCTGTGTTATATCATTAACAGTGATGTGATATTTTGTCTCGTCATAAGTGCATTTGTGTCTTTAGTATTGTGATTGGATAGAGAATAACTGTCTCAAAAATGCCATCCTTGTTGTAACATTGTCGTCAATATTATGTCAGTATTATAGATATTTTAGGATATTGTTACTAATAGTTTATCTATCAGTATGTTGTAATCGTTAATACAATAATGGTATATTATTATACCACGTTCAGCGTTATATTGAAACATCAATGCCAGTGTTAGTATTTTGTTGATAAAATTACAATATTATCAGCTTTATATTGCTTTTAAGTATTACAACATTATCAGCACTATTATATTGCTGTTAGTACTAAAGTAATGTTAAACCGTTAGAACTATGACACTGTCTGTCTCACATCCATTCCATTTCTACAAGTTTGAAAGCATAATATCAGTTCTGCAATACTGTTAGTATTATATCGTTGTCACTTCTACAATATTACCATTATTATATCGATCTATGCCTTACCCAATATAGTGTTTTATCTGTGTCTGTGCTATGAAGGGTATGTTAATCCTTATATTCTGTTAGACTGTTGACTTTATATTATTGTTGTGATAATTATACATGTATACATACCT